AATGTAAAAATCTATTGTATGTCTGTACACTATCAATAAACAATCTGAAATAAAATTTAAAAACAATTCCATTTACAGTAGCATCAAAATGAATAAAATACTTAAGAATAAATTTAACAGAAGTGCAAGATATGTACACTGAAAACTAGAAAACATTGTTGAAAGAAAGAAGATCAAATAACAGCAAGATATATTTATAGATCAGAAGTCTTAATATTGTTAAAATGGCAATACTTCCAAAATTTATCTATATATTCAAAACAATACCTATTAAAATTCTAACCAGCTTTTTTTTACAAAAGTTTATAAGACAATACTAAAATTCATATGAAAATGCAAGAGACCTAGAATAGAGAAAATAATCTAGTAAAAGTAGAGCAAAGTTAGAAGATTCACACTTCCTAATTCAAAACATAGCGTAAAGCTATAGTAATCAGGGCAGTATGGTCCTGGCATAAGGGTAGATTAAAGGATCAATGGAATAAAATAGAGATTCCAGAAATAAACTCTCATGTATATACTCAATTGATTTTTATCAAGGGTGCCAAGAAAAGTCCATGGAGAAAGAGCAGTCTTTTCAGCAAATAACTCTAGAAAAACTGGATATCCACCTGCCAAAAAAAAAAAAAAAAAAAGGAGGGGGGAATTTGGACTCTTGCTTCACACCATACATAAAAATTAACTCAAAATAGATCACAGACCTAAAAAGCTAAACTATAATACTCTTAAAAGAAAACATGGGTGGATCTTCATGTCCTTGGGTTAGGAAATGATTTGTTAGATATGTCACTAAAAGTACAAGTGATTAAAATAAATGATAACTTGGACTTCATTTTAAAAAATATTTTGTTCTTCAAATGTCACCATTAAGAAAATGGAAAAGATAATTATGATGGCTAATTTTATGCATCAGCTTGTCTAGACTATGGTTTTCTGCTGTTCAGTTAAACACTCATCTAGATGTTGCTATGAGTTCTTTTTTAGATGTAATTAATATTTAAATCAACAGATTTTGAGTAAAGCAGATTGCCCTCCATAAGGTGGCTGAGGCTTGTTTAAATAGTTCAAGGCCTTAAGAGAAAAGATTGAGTTTTCTGGAAAAGGAAATGATTCTGCCTACAGACTGCCTTCGGACTGAAGACCACAACATTAACTTCTGACAGAATTTTCAGCCCACCACCTATCCTACTTTCCAGCCCCTTTAGGTTGCCTGGACAACACAGATGCCTTCACCTACAGCCTTGACTGCTCCAACCTAGATCAGAGCCAGCATTCCCAGCTCATGATGTGCACCGTGATTGTTGCCCATGGCTTCACAGTCACAGGCATTTTGTTGGTTCTGGCTGCAGCTGTTATGAAGTCTCATATTTCAGGACTGCATTGGTGGGTGGATGTGTGTGTGTGTGTGTGTGTGTGTGTGTGTGTGTGTGTCTGTTTACTTTATATCTTCAATGGTCATAGGATGCTTTACTATTCTGAATCAAATTTTAAATTTCTGAGTTTCAAGCCCTATGCCTAGTTTCATCACTTTATATAATACTCAGTACAATAATATTTAACAAATGTGAGGAATACGACAATTTGGCTAGTAGCCAGGTTCTTGAGCCTGGTTCCAAGTCTGTGTTACAAAATTTCATGAAGAATGTAGAAATAACTACTAAACGTAAATCCCAGTGTATTTTTTCATGTATAATAGAAAAAAAAACACAAAGTGAAAACACTCCATTTCTGAGAATCTGTTAACATTGTTAAAGTCTCCACAAGTCCCTTCTATTCGATGAATTTATTTTAAGAACACATGGCCCCAGTCAGAAGGATTTTGTTTAATCATTCGTTTCCTGGGGACACATCTCTATGGTTTGTCCTTTTTAATATAGTTCCTCTTATTTCTCTTTCTTGTCTTATTGGAGTTTGTTGTAACTTCTCTTTTGATTTGAGTGTCCCAAGACCTCATCATGTTTGCTGTATCGCTTTATAAATTGCCCTGCTTGCACATTTGTCATATTCTCCACCCACTCCAGCGTCTACCCTGATCCTTCTATTCCTTTCACTTCTCCTAGTTTTGCCTCATAAGCCCTAAGCACAATAAAAAGTCTGTTCCTAACATCTTTGAATTAGAAGCATTAGCAACAGTACAAATTGTCACTTGCCCTGGATCCACCAAACCAGGTCCAATTCCTATGACTGAATCTGCGGATAAAACTATTTGAAGCTTGGCATGTATGTCTTCACGATATCTGTGGTTAGGTTCTGTAAATCAAAGAAATTCTAATCAGCCCATAATGTACCTAAAAACCTACTAAGTGTTGGACAAAATTGAAACAGGCCAGCCAAAATTCAAGGGGAAGAGACACACATTCTACCTCTTGATGGATGAGAAGCAAGAATATATTGCAAAAGAGCATGTAAGATGAGAAAGAGTTGAGTTTAAGTCCCAGGTATGTTTGAATCAAGTTATTGAGAACTTTGAAGGTGAGAAATCAGAGAAAGAGAAGCCCAGGAAGATGGTTCTCATGACAATAGCCATCTATATACATTTTGTACATCCAAGAATTTCTTTTCTTAATACCCAAAATGGAGCGTCTTTCCTTCATTTGCCCTAAGTGGTGAGCTCATGTAATCAGGGAAATGGTACTAGTTCCCTGCTTCAGAAACTTTGCAACCAGGATTTATTGTCTGTCTTGGGCCTCTGTTCTACAGGGTAATATATGTAAACTGTTTCTTAATCCTTGTTCCCACTCAAGACACCAAATAAGGTATCAATGGTTGATGCTGAATATGAACTTTCTGATGTTGCCTGAAATCTAGCCAGGGACTGACTCCACCTCCTTCTCTTCATCTGCTGGCTATTGGAAAAATGATCAAGTACCTAGTTCTAAGTAACTAGTAAATACAAGAAAGGAGAGGTGAAGACATAAACTTGCAAAATCTAAAAAAAATTGAGCTATACCAGGAAATTCATTGAAGTCATCAATGTCACAGAATGAATCCTGTGTCACTTCACCATCAGGATACCAGCAGAGCATTGATTACCATTCCTGGGAGCACAGTGGAGAAATCAGTGCTGGCCCCAGTAGAGTCGGGTAGTAGTGACAGGTGAAGGAGTGTCTAGAGAGATTGGAATGGCTAAGAGAGCTTTTGGAACTTTCCCTGGGACTTTTTTTTTTTTAATTAAAATAATAAATCTCCTCATTAAATTATAAGTAGTTGGAGAATTTGCTTTTAGCAAATCCATAAATTTGGAAATTGTCTCATTCGATCTAAAGAGAGATATTAAGTCAAATGCCAGGAGCGAGATATATAATTCCTTTGGTATTAGCCAGGGGTAAAGAGAGCAAGTTTTGCTTTTAAATAAACGCCCTTCCACAGGCCCAAACAAACACAGCGTCTACAGTCCCTAAAAGCTATATATGATAGCGAACAACATATTACATGTTTGTCATAAACACACAGAGGAGAGTTTTACAAACACTTAAATTAAAAATAGAATGTGTTTCAAATGCATTTGTAAATTAGCTTATTGGAGTTAAACTTTTTTTTTTTTTTTTTCCCACTAAAGTCATAGTTTAGGTTCCCAGGTGAATCTGAGAAATTCTACTTAAAATCATGCAATTGAAAATCTGAACCATCCAAATGTTGAGTACTATGCCCCTAGGTCTTTCAGTCCTAAGCCACTGTGAACTCCTAAGGTGGGAACCAGAGGAAAAGCAGCTTCCATAGAAGCCCAGGAAGATAGTTCCTATAACGATACACATGTATAAAAGTGCTATTCATTAGTCAAGAATCATCAAGATATATAGCAGAGTGCACATGTTCTCCAAATCGCAAACTGACATATATCAACCTAAGTTTATGCCATTTCATTTATAAATAGAAAAAAATTAATGGTAACTTTAAATAAAACTGCTTCACATTTAAAGTTTCCATTTGCTTGCTCTATCTCAACGTTGTTTTCCTTTCTAAAACTAAAATATAGAGCTTTTAATCCAGTAATGGTTTTCCACGGTGTTTCAGGGCCTCCACTGATAAGACCCGTAATATAACACATGTCACCATAAGAAACCATTACCTTTGTCTACCTTTTCCTAACAGGGGTTTTTACCTCTGTCTCCTTTATCACCTTTCCTTTGAGAAACAGTTCCTGAAAATTTGAAACCACGGCTTATTCGAATTTAGTGAACTGCTTAATACTTGTATTAGGGTATATCCCCAGCCTCTGCTACAAATATCAAACTTCCATTTTGATGCTCTTCAACTTATCAATTTATTGTCTTCTTATCAATTTATTAATCCTCTCAACAAAAATGTGGCATCATCTTACGTGTTTAGACTCATACATAAGATCCCTTATAGGGGTTGCTCCATAGTGTAGTGGTTAGCACTTCTGCTTTACATGCAGAAGGTCCTGGGTTTACACCCCAGGTGGAACCACGAACCATACCCTGGGGGCACCAAACCCCTGGGGGCAACAAGCCCCTGGGGCAACAAGCCCCTGGTGCATGCCGAAACGGCAACATTCATAGGTCAGAGGTGGAAGTCGGGAAAGGGGGAATTAAAGAGAGGAAAAAAGTAAAAAAAAAAAAAAAAAAAAAAAAAAAGATTTCTTGTAGAATTTGTTTTATAATAGACATAGGGTATAAGACTTTGAAATTTTATGTCTTATATAGAATACCAGAAAAGGTTGTATTTAGGGTTTCCCTTTCCTATTATGCCCTCTTTCTCTCTCTATCCAAGTCTTTTCCTCAGAAACTAGCTCAGCCATGCATTCTACCTGAGTTACATTCTTGAACTTCATTTTTCAAGCAAGCTATGCCATTGGAAGGTCTCGGCCAACTTACATTCTGGCCTTGCTGTAATGACCTGCTGTGTAGGCTAACCCCCAAAACAGCAGGGGGAATTTTATTTAAGACACCGGGAGTTTTTGTATAAGTCATCATTCCAAGATGTTAGTGACCATTCTCATTCCCTCAGGGAAAATTATGTGTTGGTGTCAAACCTACCTTAAGGTAAGCTTTAAGTCTTCAGTCTCTAGAGAATCTCAAGAGGCCCTCAATCTCTTCTCATCTAAGGTATTCTTCAGCTGTTAGCCAACACATGCCTGGGAGGAAACAGACAGAAGCACAACCTCGTGAAATTCAGCTCAATTCTTCCAATTTCTTAAGTATCATATCCTACTTGCCTAAAATTTAGTGGAAGTTTACCATGGTGTCATATATTATTCATTAAGTACAAGATACTACAGTTTGTCTTTCCAAAGGTGTTTGAAATTTTCAGGACTTAGGTCATCAGTTCAAAATTTATCCCGTTGTTAGGTCAACTCTAATTGACGATTTGGTTTATATATCATAATCTTGGCCAAAAATTCAATTTTCGATTATCCCCTTAGTTACTGACCATATTTAAGTTATTCCTAGTCTTTAATTTTCTATTATCCCCTTAGTTACTGACCATATTTAAGTTATTCCTAGACTGTTTTAAAAATTATTTTTTAGTAATAGCCATATTAACATTATTAACACTTTAACGAAAATGGTTAAATTAGTATTGAATGCCAAGTTTAGTTTAGTATCTTCTATTTTTAAAAGGAGAGTGTTAATTAGTTATTAATATCTGGTCTCTAGCAGATATAAATGACTTAGCTCTGCATAGAAAAAAACAATTTCATAATCAGAGATGACAGAACATAAACTATAGACAGCCATCTTGCCATTCACAGTGGCAAGAAGAAACAACGTGACAAATTAATGTAACTAACTAAAATTCCTGTTGGAAGTTTCATCAGCAATCCTCTTAGAATAGAGAATATAGCACATTTGTGATACTGGGAAAATTCCAATTTGAGGCAAAGACAATTTTGGATAGCTTTTGGCATCTCATTGACTAGGTAATAATAAATAAATCATTCAAACATATCTATACCTCGGTTTCTACTTCTGTGAGAGAGAATAAGTGGCATTTGTGTTTGAAGCTCTTAAGACCAAGAGAGGCAATATATAACAGTTATGTGCATAACCCTGGAAACATACAGAATGAATTTGCAGCCCACTGTGACACAATCAATAAATAACCTTAGACAAGTTACTCAAGCTCTCTGTGCCTCATTTTTTTGCATTTGTAAAACAGAGATGATAATACTATACCAAATTTTAGGGATAATGTAGAGATTAAATGAATGAATGCAAAATACCAAGAAGAGTCACAGTACAAAGCAATAATTCAATAAATGTCGGGTCTGTAGCTATAGGTATCAAAGCAAGACTATATTTTTAAAACAATCATAAGATATAGCTGATGATGTTGTCTTGGGCCTTCTTAATATTTTGTTGTCTCACATTTCCAAGTGCTTTGCAATGATTATATATCAAAATATTATTTCAAGAAAATATTGAATTGAAACATAATGAGAGCAAAAGAAATAATTTTGAACTGAGAATCAGGATATGGTGGTTGTCTCTGCCACCAACCTATTGTGACCTTAAATAATTTGGACTGTCAGTCTCTTCATCTGAAAACCGAGGGGAATAAATTCATTAACTCTAAGGTTCCTCCAGGTCTTACATTCTCTTTAATGAAGCTGTATTTAATAGTATTATCTTTATATAATCAGAATGCTATTTTATAATAGCTATTTTTCAATAGGTATGTTTGTTTAGCTATGTTAAGCTTATTTTCCGTCTTTTAAACTTTAAATCCAAGGTTTGTGTTGAGCAAAATAGACAGAATCTTATGAATGTTGAACCAGAAATATGATAAAATGCATTTTTCTACCAAAGAGTCAAGGATTTCATAATATACTTTATCTAAATAAATATAATTTTAATATAAGTAAACTTCTAGTTTAGTGCAACTTGGAAAATAAGTTCAGACCTACATAAAGGAAAGTGAGCTGGGAAGATGAAAAAGCAAGTATAACTCTAAAGGGATAATTTAAATTACATTAGAAAGTAATTTGTAAAAAATATTTGTAAAAAAAAAAAGTTGTCTTTGCAGAGTACCCACAGTCTTAAAGGGAGATGCCAAAGAGTCAGAAAGAAGACAAATAATACCAAGCCAATTATAACTTTTAAAAATAGCATTATCTCAAGGAAACAGATGAGTGCATAGAGAGAAGGGGAAAAGTTGGTTAAGAAAAATAAAAGGAAAAAAATTAATGTAAAACAAAAAAGTATCCCAAAAACTGATGAAAGAGAAGAAAGTGGCTCTCTAGATAAATAAAGGACAGTACAGAGACATGGGGTGAGAGTGAGGGGAGATATAAAAGAAAGACACACGGAGAGAAATTACATCAAATGTAGATTGATATGACAGTCAAAAAAACATCTTTCATATTTCAAAATGTAGGGTGGAGAGAGCCAGCCCTAAGATATTCAAATATGTCAATGTCACGAAAGAGGAAAAGAGAAAAAAAGCCCAAGAAGCTGTTCTAGAATAAAGAAGGCTAAAAAAATACATGATCCTTGATAGATTTCTAGATTTAAAAAAAAAAAAAAAAAAGTTTTACAGGTGTTGGGACAATTGGAGAAATTTGGATATGAACTGCATATTAGACAATAGTATTGAATCAATGATAAATTTTTTGGAGAGTGACAATTACATCGTGGTTGCTCTGGAGAATGTCTTATTGTTAGGAGATATATGCTTAAGTATTTAAGAGTAAGAAAAATAATAAGATTCAACTTATTCTCAACTGGCGCAAGGAAAAAATGTAATAGAAAAAAAAGAGACTGAGTAAATGTAGCAAAATATTGACAATTAGTGAATGTAGATGAAGAATCTATGTGTTCATTGTATTATTCCCATAATTTGACTGTAGGTTCAAAGTTTTTCAAAATGGAAAAGTTTCTCAAATTAAAAAAAAAAAACTTTCACAGATAACTTTTGAATAGATAAGTGGTGATACTGTTTACCAAAAAATGAATTTTCAGCCACTCTTGTCCATCATCCTCCTCTCCTAGAACTTCATCAAAGGGAGAATGTGTGAAACCAAATCAGTACTAGTAGCTGATTATTCCACACATAAAACAAACTGTATTCTTTGAGGGTTAGTGCTCTTCTTATAATTAGAGGCACAAGAGTTTTCTACTGCCAGTTACTTTGTGGTATCTATTGGGTAACATCGAGAGAAAGAAAATGGGAACCTCTAAGTGCAAATTCAGCTTGTGGTGAAAAAAAAAAAAAAGCTAGCCCTGAGGAATTTCTTTTCCTAGACTGAGGTAGCAGTTTAAAGTCTCAAGTGGACAAACAAGGAGAGATACTTTGACAGAGCCATGTGACTCATAGCTCTTGAGCAGACATGGATGATGGAGAATAGACTGATTTTGGTGGTCTATAAAAAGAGAAATATTTTAAGAATTTTTTAATTATCAAAAGATTAAGTTCTCTAACAACATACAAGATGAAAAGCTCTAAAAGAAAACCTCCTCGAAAGGTAGAATTTGTGTTAATGAGGAATCATTCTAACATTTAAAATTATAATTAACAATTCTGTAAGGATGAAAAATATGGTTCATACATTTCTGATTTCAGCACAAATTGATATACGTTTTTGGTAAATAATTTGGCCAGAAGTTTCAAGAGTTGCAAAAATATTATTACTTTGATTACTTCTCACAATTTATGCTAAGAAAAGAAAGACACTATGAGAGAGAGGAGGAGGAGAAAGGAAGAAGGGGGAGAGGGAGGGAGGGAATAATGGAAGGAGAAAGGAAAAGAAAGGATAGGTGAGCTGTCTATAGCAAGATAGTCATTTCAGATATTTATACTAAAAGAAGAAGGGAAGAAGGAAAGAAAATGCTCAATAATAATGAAATATTTGCATAATGCACAAATACATGAAGTACATAAAAGATTTTGCAAATCATAAGACTATACAAGAAGGGAAATTCTACTATATAAATTCAAGTGAAGTATATAGAATTAAATATTGTGTCTACTTTATGATTCAAGCCTGCAGTCATGAAGCACAATAAGAAGTTAATCTGTTGAACTAAAATCAGGAAGTAGTGTTTATCTTTTTAAAATCCTCATTGCTATTGTTATGAGAGTAGACTTATGTTAATTGCTCTCTCAATAGGATAGGGCTTGCCCGAAGCAAAATCTACTATAGTGAATATATCTTTTGGGGTGCCAATGAATATAAATTCTCTCTTCACCTCTGCTGCAGACTGTCCATATGAAATCATGTTAAATCCTCGTTGTTCCTCAGCCTATTCTGCTAAAAAAATATCTTTTCAAGGCACGAAAACAATATTTACAAGACTAGAAAAATTGCATATGCCAATTTTAGGTTTTCACCCTTACAGTGTGATTTTAGAATTGACAACACTTCTGTTTCTATCTGCCATTTGAAGAAGGGCCACATAGTATACCAAGGGTTAGAACAGAGTTAGGTAAATCTGAGTTTGGATCCTTTTTGTGTTTTCAAGTGAGTATCCTTGGGCAAATTTCTTAACATCTCTTTGTACCTAGTCTCTCCATTTGTAAATTGGTACAAAAATTATATCTATTTTATACAGTTATCATGAAAATTAAATGAGTTGATGCACACAAAGTTCTTAGCACAGTGCCCGGTGTGCAGTGATGCTAGGGAAGCATTAGAGATTGTTATTGGTTCTTTTTAATCTGCCATTTTTTCTACGGCCATGCCACCCTGAACACGCCAAATCCCGTCTGATCTCAGAAGCTAAGCAAGGTCGAGCTTGGTTAGTACTTGGATGGGAGACCACCTATGAAGACCAGGTGCTGTAGGCATTAAAAAAAAAAAAACTGCCACTTTTTCCCAACAGGCAGTTGGGTCTAGGGGTGGTCAGAATAAGGCATATTTTTTAATACTGTAGGGCTTGGTTCTATATTTAGAATCATATGGCCAGAATATTCATGGATAATATTCCTTGAAGATATCTTCAGTGTCCTAGTTCTATCACCATATAAGATATTATATTTAGTAATATAATCATAAGGATGTGGGAGATTTTTCAAGAAAAACTTTGCAAAGTTATATCCAGATACGTTACTCCTTGAATCCCATGGAATATAAGCAATTGAGGAGAAACTGAAGAGTAAATTTAGGTCCTCCTGAAACCATTGCTAATAGAGTTC